GCAAAAAAAAAAAAAAAAAAATATATATATACAAAGGGGAAGGATAGCCTCTTCAATACATGGTGTTGGGAAAACTGGACAGCTACATGCAAAAGAATCAAAATGACTACTTTCTCACACCATATAAAAATAAACTCAAAATGGATTAAAGATTTAAATGTAATACCTGAAATCATAAAACTCCTAGTTGAAAACATAGGCAGTACACTCTTTGACATCAGTCTTTGAAATAATTTTTTGGATCTGTCTTCTTAGGCAAGAGAAAGAAAAGCAAAAACATACAAATGAGACTGCGTCAAACTAAAAAGCTTTTGCAGAGCAAAGGAAACTATCAACAAAACAAAAGGCAGCCTACTTAATGGGAGAAGATATTTTCAAATGATATATCCAATGAGACGTTAATATCCAAAATACACAAAGAACTTATAACGACATCAAGAAAACTAACAACCTGATTAAAAACTGGGCAAAGGATCTGAATAGACATTTTTCTAAAGAGGACATACATATGACCAAGACGCACATGAGAAGACGCTCAACATCACTAGTCATCAGTGAAATGCAAATCAAAACTACAATGAAATATCACCTCACACCTGTTAGAATGGCTATCATCCAAAAGAACACAAATAACGTGTTGGCAAGGGTGTGGATAAAAGGGAATGCTTGTGTACTGTTGGTGGGAATCTAAATTGATATAGCCACTATGGATGACAGTATGGAGGCTCCTCAAAAAATTAAAAATAGAAGTACCATAAGATCCATGAATTCCACTTCTGGGTATTTTTCCAAAGGAAACAAAAACACTAAAACAAATGAACAAATATAATGAAAGAAAAACAGACTCATATAAACAGAGAACAAACTGGTGGGTGCCAGAGGGGAAGGGGGTTGGTGGATTAGTGAAATAGGTGAGGGATATTTAGAGGTACAAACCTCCAGTTATAAAATAAATAAGTCTTGGGATGTAACATAAAGCATAGGTAATATAGTCAATAATACTCTAATAACCTTATATTGTGACAGATGGTAACTAGACTTATCATGCTGATCATTTTGTAATGTATCCAAATATCAAATTACTATGTTGTACATCTGAAACTAATATAATATGTAAGTCAATTATATTTCAATAAAAACTTCTTAGCAACAACAATAAAACAAAATGAAAAAGAAAATCAAATTTGATCAGAATACTGCAGAATCTGTTAACATGAATAACAAAAGATACACTAGAAGTACTCATGTATAAAAAATTCAAGATCCCCATAATAAACCAACAAGTTTTTCCATTATTTTAACTTTTGAAGATTACTTCCTTACATGAAAAATAAATAACATGAGGAAATTTACAAACCATTTTCCAGTATGATCCATTCAGAATAGAAAACAGCTGCCAATCTGCACTACAGATAAATGTGTAGATAAAAACAAAGATCTAGTCTTTACAATTAAATCAATTTTCAACAGGTTGTATTGATAAATAATCTAAATTTCTGGCCTCTTGCCTTGAACTCTTTCCTGTCTCAATAAATGGCAACATCATCCATGTGCTGCTCAAAATCAAAACCCTGACTCCCATTTATCACTCTTTAATTCTCCTCTACAGTAAATTATCTGCAAGCATTGTTGGCTCTAATTCCAAAACATACATAAATATGCTCCTTCTCTCTACCTCTCTTGCCACTCTCTTAATTCAGGCCATCAACAGCTTTGCTTAGGCTTCTGCAATAGCCTTCCAACTGGTCTTCCTATTTACACTTCTGTTCTTCTGACCACATCCAACCCCAGAGTTCATCTAACACCTTGCAGCCAGAGCTATCTTTTTTGATACAAGTCTGTACATATCACTCCCCTACTAGATGAATCTAAAATACTTACAGTCTCCCTACATTACCTGGCCCCTACCTAATTCTCCAATTGCATCTTAACTGACTCATCTGCTGCATCACATTATCCTTCTTTCTGTTTCTAGAACATCCAAGCTAGTTACCACTTAGGGTCTATCTACTTGCTATTCCTTCTAGTTGGAATGCTCTGTTGCAGATCTTTCCATGTTACTTCCTTATCATCAAGTCTCAATCCAACTGTCAATTCCCTCCCAACCCCAAATCCAGAGGCTTTCCTTGACCATCTCATCTAAATTAATCCCCAATCAATTTCTATCACATCATCCTGCTTAACTTTCTTCCTATTATTTATTACTACCTGAAATTACCTTCTCTACTTCTAAGTTACCCACTTATTCTCTGTCTTCTCCCTTGAATGTTAGCTCCTGAGCACTGGAACCTTATCAGTCTTATTCACCATTTACTACCCAGTGTCTAGAAAAGTGCTTGGTACACAGTAGGTGCTCACTAAATATTTATTACAAGAGTGAATACACTTAACAATAACAAAAAGAAGCAGCTCAAAATATGAATAATTATCATAAGATTAAGATTCAAAAAGAGGTATTGTATGAATTTATATCATGTGATTTCATGTTACGCACATTAACAATATCAGTGGAACTTATTACATATTAGAGATCCCAAATATTAATGAAGAATACATTATTTTACTAAGTTACTTTAAATTCATTTCTAATTTAAAACCTTTCAAAATGAGGAATTTTAAATCTACTTATGAATGGGGAAGGGAAGCTATATGTCTTTCTTTTGGCAAAAATAGAATGGTCTCTTTAGGACTGAATCAGAAGCATTTAAAGGAATATGCTGAGAAAAAAAAAGTCAATTTAAAAAGTGAATACCAATTTTTAAGGCAGAGAAAATCTATTGAAACCTGAGGGAAACAAAGGAAATTGGTTTCCCAAGGGCCAGTAAATCATCATGTAGCTAAACACAATCTCTAAGGACTGATGGCACATTCTTGACATCTGGAAAGGGTAAGTCCAAAACTGTCCAAGTGCCCAAATACCACCATATCAGTGCTCTTACTTGCAAGACCCACTAGCTAGTCACACAATTAATGAGAATGACTCAAATGTGTGCCTTGGGGAAATTATAAATTACTACATCTCATGGACCTCTAGAGTCTTCCCGAACAGTCAAAGCCACAGAATTTGTGAAAACCAGGGGCCTCATCACTGTATTTAGACTGTTTCAATGAGACAATAAACTACCTGGGATATTAGTTAAGATTTTTTAAATAACTAGGAAACTATTTTCTCCACTGGAGCTATTTATTAAATACCACAGAGCATGAATACAACCACTGAGATTACAGACAGTAGCAAACAAAAATGGTGCTGGGCACTTTATGTTCCTGTTGATTGACTGTCTTTGTTATACAACACTGTCGGAAAAAATTTGACTACAATTCTAACTGCAAGCCACAGTAATCATGTCAATGTGTGAACTACCTGAATATCTAATTATGAAAAAAGGAAGGCAATTTCACAGTGGAAGCATTGTCCTAATTCAAGAAACCCAGCCACATTAACTGATTAGTCTGACATGTAGCAGATAGCTGAAAAACTTTAATTTGAAAGATAATTATTTTTAGCTGATTAATATGCTTCAGATTAAATTCACTGCTTTTAATGGGTCCATGAACTTGACGACCTGGGAAATTAATAAATTTTGCATGCAGGGCTTCCCTGGTGGCGCAGTGGTTGACAGTCCACCTGCCGATGCAGGGGACACGGGTTCGTGCCCCGGTCCGGGAAGATCCCACATGCCGTGGAGCGGCTAGGCCCGTGAGCCATGGCCGCTGAGCCTGTGCGTCTGAAGCCTGTGCTCCGGGGCCCCCAAACCAAAAAAAAAAAAAAAAAAAAAAAATTTTGCATGCAGTAATCCTAGGAAATTTATACAGCCAAGCTACACATTATTACAAGGATTACCTTCACAGTAGGCATTGTCCTCTCGAAGAGCCCTAAAACCATCTCGACAGCTACAAACGGCCCTGTCATTCAGATTTCTGCAGACAGAATTCTCCATGCAGTTATGCCTTTCAGAACAAAAGTCATAACCTACAAGAAAAAAGAAACTTATTAGGGTAAATAAAATCGTAACAAAGCAAATAAACTTTGTCTCCTTAAAATCTTTCTTTGATTTAGAAGCTATATTTCTCTAAACGATTAAGTTGATATCTTCATCCAATGTTCATAGGACCATATGCTATGTGTACTAAAAAGTTTTTGAGTGTGTTTAACTCAATTAATTCCTTCTTGAAGTCTCCTCTATTTCTGACTTTATAAATGCTATCTCTAGTCCCTAATATTCCAACTACAGTCCTCCAAATACTGGAAACAAAGAAAGATTCTTGGAGTACAAAATGAAGATTTACAACATAGAAGACAACACAGTGAGGAAGGAAAGTGATCTGAGAATTACTGATTGAACACTGTCAATAACTATGAGTAATACAGACCAAGCCAGATGAGATGTGCACATTATGTATTTAAGAAATGAAACAGACAACTTGGCATCCTTAACCCCACAAAACTCTAAACGTATAAAAGAAATCACATCACTTCAATCTAATTTTCTCAGGAAATCTGCAAGACAAAGTATGTCCACTCAAAAGAAAAAGAAAGTTTTTATGAATTATAAAGATTTCACAGATTCCAGAGTCTTTATGTAGAGGAAAGAAAAATGGAACATTTCATAAACAGTGACACCAATCATGTGTAATTTCTCAAATCTCTTTTTCCTGTGTGAATCCCTGTTCAAAGATCATCTAAGATGCTGAAATAAAAAGCTGGAACACTGGAATCCATATTTAATGGAAATTATATGATTATACATCATTCAAACAATTTTCAAATTGCTTGATGCATAAATTTTCTGTCTAGTTTTACACTGTCTAATGAATTATTTTTTCACCATGTATAAAAGAGGTCCAGAAGAATACATTTCATGTAGCTCAGAATAAACTCATCTGCTTACATGCAAAAAAAGACTTTTACTTGAGCAAATCATGAAGATGTAAGTTCTACACTCATCTTATTTGTTATCAATTACCATACAGTGCTGTGATTCAGTGAAAGGGTGAACTAAGCTATACCACAGCCAAAAGGTATACTCTGGTTCAGCACAATGGTTGATGTCCATTCCAATTGGTTTATGCCCATAATGACTATGTTGAATATTGACCCAGAGTTAAAACAAATCTCCCATGAAATGCAACTACAATGTATAGTAAAATAGTGTTTGTACAATTTAATAAGCCTTAGGAAGGGTGAGGCTCTCAAAATACAGTGATGCATTTAAAAAGGATAGGAAAAATCAAAAGAAGTAGTGATTTCTACAGAAATAAAATAAAATAGAACAGAGTGTATGAAGACTGGAAAAATATATAGTCAATAACAGCACTGAAAATCACTTGACAACTTTTCTTGACAAGATTCTTCACAATCTAAATTCTCATGATTAAGGCTGAATATTTAGAAGTAAAAGGTTCACTCTTAAGGAAAGGAAAAGTTAAAAATGTTTTCTCCCTGGGTCTTTTTATTTCCTTCTTTAAGTAGCTAAATTGAGACCATATTTCTTAAACTGTATTCCAGTGTCTTTTTACAATGCCTGACGAGGGATAATTTCAGCTAAAAAGTCATCCTCATTCTCTATACCAATAGTTCAGCACATCATCAACCTAAAATGAAAATGTTCCAAAAAAATCACTTTATATTTATTCTAAATTAAAACAATGTTACTAAAAAAAAACTGGCCCACTCCTTAAGATACACAGAGAATTAAGAGACCATGTTTTAACGCAGCACTAAATCTGTAGAAGTTTACCTGTAATGCTTCAAACAACTTTTAGAGAGCAGTGACTAAGAACAGGAACTGTTCCTGACGCACTTTTACTTTCCTTTCATAAGTTTATATTTTTCAAAACTATCTTTCAACACTTCATTTTGATGCATTTTCTCTTCTCCTATTTTTCAGACTCTGTTCAATCCGTGCTGTCACGGTCTACGCCATAAGCCTCCTCTATTACAATCCATTTCCCGTCTGTATAAGTAATGGTAAGACCCCCTCATCTCAGCATCAAATATCATGCACACGCTCACCATGCAGTGTTTAATTGCTGCAAGAATTTTCTAACTATAAGATAACAGTATGATTCTACTTTTCATTGTTTAGGTTCAGTTAGGGAGTACTTCACTTTTCATCAGATGAGTTTTTTAAGTTAACCTGGAGACTTGAAAACTGAAAATTTTGTCAAATACTAATTTCCTCTAAACAATGTCAGATAGCTATTTTGATTTAGTCTCTCAACAAATAAGTTGGTTGAATCTATTGGTTGTTTTACTGCTTAGATTCAAAAATGCCAAGGTTAAAATGTTAACTACTGATGGTTAGAAAATTCAGACTCAGTTTAAGGGGCTTGTTTCCAATCTATAGGGAAAAACTTCAAAAAACATCAGAGTATCGGTTGGCAATAAACCATAGTCCTACCACCATTATAGCCACATTCCTACTCATCTGTGCTTGGTTTTTGGAGTTGAAAGACCTGGATTTACATCTGACCTCTACCACTTACTGGCTATGTAAATATTAACCTTCAGCTTTTCTCACCTGTAAAATCAGGATAATATGTACCTTTCAAAAGGTTCAAATGAGATCATTTATGTAAAAGTGTAATAGTATATGTAGCATTTGTTAATAATTAAAGCAGTTAGAGTATTACTAATAAGCCATAAACCAAATGTGTTGAGATACCTATCATAGGAGAAAATTGAAATATTTGCTATAAATGGATAGATTAATGATCTAATACAATCAGGTCTTTCTTTTATTTCCTCCTTTGGGTTTTAACCTCAAGGATACCAAGTTTTCTATTCCTTTTAAGCTTTCCAAATTTACATGAGATTCTTTCATTAAGTGTACTAGATCTTTCTATAAAATATTAATAAGCATTTTTCTATGACTGAGGATACAAAAGGGTAAGGAAGAGTCAGATACAAAAGATTATGCATAAGAACAATATAAATAAATGTTATTCATAATAACCAGGAGAAAGAGAATGCAATAGTTTTGAGGTGAATATTTGTTAGTTTTGCCTTACAGGTGGTCTATTCCTCCTTTTTGTGGGAAAAAAACAAAACAAAACAAAAACCTAGTCATACCTGGGATGAACTCTTCACCTCTACTGTTAGCCTAGGTGCTTACAGGAAAATGGACTACACTGCCCACTGGTTAAGGCCACACCAATCAATGCATCCCACTGGCCTGGACATAGTAATTTCTTCAGGTCTGAGCAAATGATGCAGTTCAGGTTAATGCAGATAACTGAAACTCAATTCTGGGACCTTTGTTCAACTCACGAGGATATTGAACTTTCTCTTCCACCTACTTGAGTATCATAATAACATGAGCATAAGAATGTCAGGGAACACACAGAGTCTGAAAATAAGGCCACCTCAGAGGAGACAAACAGAAAGATGCATCTAAGCAAAGGGGCGAGATTTGAGATTTGAGTCAAGCCACTCACTGGGGCTATGTATTCCACTGTTTGCTTAAGTCAGTAGCATTGGGTGTTCTATCACTTGCACCTGAAAGAATACTAACTCATATCAGTATCGTCTGCAAGATGATGGATAATCCTGATTTTTCCCAAAAGGCAGTTCACGTGCATGGATGAAAATTTTAAAAAAAACAGTACTGATAGCAATGGAATTCTTTAAAGGTGTATAAAAAATTACATGAATCTAACAAATAATCCCATTATTTCATGGATACTACTGCTTAGGAATAAAACTAAAGTTTCACAAAATGAGTTGACTAACAGTAGACATCAAAACATTAACTAAATAATGTTATTTGTGGTACACAGATAACAAGAATCATGAAGATGTAATTCAGTGATGTGGGAAACTATGAATTATCCAGAAGTTGGGTGCAAACAATCTACACCCACTCAGCCTTCTGCACATGGTGCCTCTATCACTTCTAATTGTAAGGCACGACAAAGTCAATGCTAAATTAAAGTTGGGCATCCAGTGAATAGGACTTGATGGTCTGTAAGCAGAGAAAGGGGCGGCCAAGGGAGGAGGAGAATGGGACGGGGTGAGATATGAAAACATATAGTTTCACGTTATTTCTGTACCTTTCTAAGTCAGAGTCCTCGCTGTATCATGAAGTCTCTGTCGTTTTGTAATTTGTCATAAGCTTCCTTGAAAGAGCTCTCAAATATGAAAAAAGTGAAAAGAACATTCCT